TCACCTCCTATTCTACACGAATACCTGTTGTAAATTCAGTTATCCAGAAAATTATGCTCAGAGAATTCTGTAATTCAGGGCTGTGGAGCTGCATAAATTTCTGCAGAGTAATTCCCACTTTTGTAGAACTGCTCTGCTGGATATCAGCTTCCACAAATAAAAATCATGATCCTAGTATTTACAGGATACACATGTCTTTAAAAAGCATGAACTGCATCTACACTGAGGCACCACCTGGCAACCTAGACCAGGAGCCTGGACTTGGAAAGAAATTTGTTATGTATCTTTCATCTGAGCTCCAGACTCTTGGGCTCCATAAGTTCAGCAGTGAATTTTTGGCACTCAAAAAAAACCAAACCCAAAACCCAAAAAACCCCCCACAAAATCCTTACTTTAATTACTACAAATTAAACAGACACCCTTTGTTTCTTTGTTCAGTTTAGGTTTCCTGCTGCCTTTTCATCTGAAAATGTCACCATATTAAAGCAATGCACTTGTTTGATCTGCATAGCTCTGAATAGGACAAAGCACGAAATTGTCAAAGAACAAAATCTGTAATCCAATTGTCAAATGTGTGGAGATGTAGGTCTACATTGACAAGGTAATTCACCTAAAGAACAGTTATGTAGTGGAAACCTGGAAAGATCAGCTAACAATTCAGCTGCAAAATCCGTGTTTCCAGATACTACAGAGAAGATTCTGCAGAACGTTGCCAGGACAACACAATAGAAACTGAAGACTGGGGGACATGTCATGCTGCTTGGAGACCAGATTAATAAACTCTTCCCATAAACAACTGCGTTAAGAAGTAGTTAACTGAAGTACATTATAGTACATATACTTAACTATGATTCATACTTTTTACACTGAATTCAATGATAGTTGTTTGCACAGTTTTAATATAAGATTTGTATAACTTTTAGTCTTATGTGGAATTACACAATAATAGTATGTCTTAATAAAAATATCACCATCCTAGCATTTGCATGTTTTCAAGTTAAGACAGAGGGAAGGAACAAGAACAATTTTAAAAGTGGTATATTAATTAATTGTGCAACAGAACTTGGGGAATTCCTAATAGTAGATTTAACCACACTATGTCACAGAGTATCCAAGATCTCATTACAATGTGCACTACAATGTGTACTACAACCTTCTTTTTCAGCAGCCATAATGTAGTAAATGTAGTAAGCACTGCATGATTTTTTTTTTTTTTTGCCCTACTCCTGCTGCAGACACTCATTCCTTACTGGATAAGGTAGCTATTTCCATGAAAACAAAAAAACATGGGCAATCTTCTCATAGTTCTGTCTGCTCACACTCAGGATGCAGCAAATATTTCCAATTTATGCCTCCTACACTTGCATGCTCTGTAGCTTCAATTCCCACAGTACATGATCAAAAAAGTTTCATGGAAACATGTCTCTTGACTGAGATTTTGTACACGTAGAATTTTATCACTGAATTTACAGTTTCAGTTCTGTTTCAAATGAATTTTTTTATACATCCTCAAAGATAGTCTCAAAATGTTTTTATTTAAAAATATAAAGAGAAAAAAACTCTTTACATCCTATACTTATGAAGAAGCAGAAATCTGACTTCTTAACACCGTTTCTAAATGTCAAAAACAATGTGGTAGAGTTTCATTTTGCTTCTTTTTACTACAAAATACTGAATAGGTAGCATGAAAGCAGTTCAGGATGTTTAACGTGAGATTTCAGAGCCCTCATGCTTCCACAGCTCATCACAAACTCATGGCTGTAACCCAGATTCACATTTCTTTGTCTATTGAGGCCTTTCCCAGGGATGTGGCACAGCAGCTACAACCTAAAGACTGTTTAGGCTATTTCAAAAAGATTTGTCAAGCTGCCCCATAATATACTTACATGGAATACTGAATCAGAGCTACTGTATCATTTCCTTAAAACATAACTAGACAGAGATAGAACAAGGTCTAAAATGTGCATTCCTTTTCCTTTTCAGACAAAATATCACAAAACACATAAAATATGATCAGAAAATTTATCTCCAATCAAGAACTGAATTTGCAAAGGCTTCCTAGATAGCTCGTGTCAAAACACTCCACTTTCCCAATTTAATGTCTGCAAGACTATATTAACTTTACTTACTTCAGAGTGGTGTTAAAAGAATTGCACGTGCTTGCACAACTACTTTGAAGATGAAAAATGCTATTTAAATGCCAACTGGCATTTTATATAAATAAGAGGAAAATAAACACTGCATAAATTCAAAACAAGACTATCCTTTCTCCATGTATAGATTGAGCACAAGATCTGAAAATACTGTTATTTCACCATTGCCATGTCTCCAAAGAAAACAGAAAGTTTTTATGAGGCTTTACTGCCTCAAATACTACTTTGCCACTCACTGATACACGTTTCACAGCTTGTAAGATGTGTTAACTGTATTTGTAACACAAATATTAACATTTAAAGTATTATTCATGACAGCATATTGACACAAACCAGTTTTAATCAATCAGGCTTTCGAGGTGTAGCTGCTTTGAAGTCCCCTAATGAAAGCTTTCTTCTGTTTCAAAGTACTGTTTCAATTCACAGTGACTTCATACACTCCATAAATCTTCTAAAGACAAAATGGAAGAAAATTCTATCTGCGTTTCTTAGTCCATACTCATTTATTTCTAGTTTCAATATGAAGCAAAAGGGCCAAGAGCTTTGCAGATTCTTTACTAAACCTGAAGCAGAAAGTGGTTTACATTCCCTTTTAATTTTATTTTTGTTTGTTAGCTTTTTGTTTCCCTTCACTCATACTCATTTCCATCTCCAAATAATGGCTCAGTTGCTTCTCATTTCTACAAAGCTGATCTTTTCTCTCCTCTCAGTCATAAACAAGGGAATAGAAATTACCTCATCATACGAAACCCACTAATTACCCAGATACTGGTACTGGATTTTCCTCATCATCCTTTCCTTTAGCTTCAGTTGAAAGAGTCAGCAACTAAGACATAATTGCATAAGAAGGGCTGGAGTAGTCAGGTAAAATCCAGGTGCCAATATTTCTCACAGTTTTGTAATGCTTTTGTTTTGGAAGAATGCCAATAAATTTCAAACTGGGGAAGAAGTAACAATTTGCCTGATTATCAAACATCAAAAGTATTTTCATACCTAGAAATAAGTGAAAGGCTTTCAATCTCAGGCATAATGAAACAGCAATTTATAACTGCAGCTGCAATTCAATTACAAAAAAGATAATTCATAAAATTCAACAGTTTTGTTATTTTGAATTGAATTTTGTTAAAAAAACAAACAACAAACACCTATTTAAAGTTCTACATAAAATAGCTGTCTCAACCTCTTCCTGCTGGAAGTGATAACGGGTTTTTATTCTGTGCTTTTAGTAGCAATTTTTTATTTTAAAGACAGCTTGGAAGATTATTATTTCTGAATTTTTGGGTCCTCTATCCTTTCATCAGTCACTAATCTTGCATATTTCTAATATGAAGTGAAAGAGCCAGTTATCTCCTCTATAAAATATTTCACATTTAGTGCATACAGCTTTGACCAAGTGTATTGAAATACAGTAATATTGGATTGAATGGGAATTTCCGGCATAGAAATCCACTTTCAACAATATCTTTCCAAGTGACAGACATTGCTTATTTTTTCCACAGTTAATGGGATATGGTTTGCGTTCAGCTAAAAATGAGGTGACTGGACGACAGAAGGGAAGGCTGCTACAATTTAATTTAAGAGCATACTGTGAATATGAAAATCAAGGAACAAACTGTACTATGAGTAGGGTTTGTGGCCTTTGGAAAGTCTCTCAGTCTTACCTCTGCACACTATAAGTACAATTACATGCACATGTTTGTTTAAGGTCTCTCACTCATACCTGAGATACATCTACGTAAACATGGTATCATTAAAACTTTGCACTAAACATAAGTCAAAAGTATAAGCAATTATATATATGTGTGTGTGTGCGTGCACAGACAACAAAAACACATGTAAAATTATGTACAGTAATATTGTTTACTGCCAGCTCAGTAGGCAGTCAAAGACACGTTTGATCTTTTAGCTTTTCTAAGTTAATTGCTCATTCTGCACTATTCAGGCCTGTTCTTGCCTATAATCATTAGGATCATAGAGAAGTGAGCAGAATGCAGGTCTCATGCTAATTAATTAGCATATTAAATAAAAAATTACACTACTATCTTGCAGGACTTTTTTACTATGTATCTAATACTGGGGGGGATTAATAAAAGTGATTCACTTGAAACCTCCTCAACTGATTCCATTACCTAACATATAATAGAGAGGAGCTAAAGAGTTTCCCATTTTTTTTCCTAATTTTGTATATCTGCTATCTGACCCATCATGGAGAAATCAAAATGCTTTTTCCCCCTAGAGAGGGAGAGATCAGAGAAAATCTGCATTTCAAAACAATGATGCACAGAAAATAGAAGAAGTATTCTTAGAAAGGAGCGAAGGAGGGAGAGGAGGAGGAAGCTTTTGTAATACTCTTCCTTAGCTTCAATAGCAATAATGTGTGCATGAAGCAAAATCTGAATCTGACCTTGTAACAGTAAAATTTGAAAATCCACAGTTATATAGAGGTACATTCGATGGAGCTTTAATACGGAATTCAACTGGCACTTTTGCAAAGTTACACACCAATTGGTACTCTGCTTCACTGCGGTCTACGTATCCAGTCCTCCTTCAAGTGAAATAAATGGGAGACATTCCAAAATAATCAATTGAAGTTGGATGAGATCCACACAGAACAATATTAAAGACCAAAGTGTCTACTCTGTGCTGCATATTTTTTAGGTACACAAAACACACATGCAAAAAACTTAACTTAAACCTGAAAGCTTCCCTAAATATCAAATTTTCTGTCGTCACAAAGCAGTCATATATGCAAGCAATATAAAAATACAGTTCTACCTGTAGACTCAGGAAACAAGTCTAAAAATATCTCCTCAATGTATTTTACAAGTGGTATTTTAAGACACTCACCTGTTTGCCACCAGTGGTCCAAGACAGGTACTCCGAAGACCTTTTTTGACCATTCTAGTGTGTCCACATCACAGTGCTCACCAGCTACAAATAACGTTCTGAACCTTTAAATGAAAATTAAAGAAAGTGTATGTCTTGATCTGGATGGGGAAAGGAAAACAACAAATTCAGTAAATCACAGAATCATAGAAAACCAGGTTGGAAGGGACCTCAAGGTTCATCTGGTCAAACCTTTCTAGGCAACGCATGACCTAGACTAGATGTCCCAAACCCTTTCCAGCTGTATCTTAAAAGTGTCCAGTATTGGGAAATCCACCACTTCCTTGGGGAGATTATTCCAATGGCTGGTTGTTCTCATTGTGAAAAATTTCCCTTTTGTGTTCAGTCAGAATCTTACCAGGAGTAACTTGTGCTCATTAAACCCTTGTCTTTACCATGTATAAAGAAATAATAAGTATCTCTGCTCAGATAAAGAGAAAAGGGGAGGAGGGATTCTTACTCTTTGTAAGCTCCTTCCTACTAAGTAAAAATTAGAATCTTAGTAATACTAATTTATGCTACTTAATAATCATGTAAAAGAGCTTTATTTTCTGAATGCAAAGACCTTGGGAGAACAGAGGCAATCAACTGTCAGTGGAAATAAAAGTAATTTAATGCTCTGTACACAGAAACTATGTAGATATCCTTTAGGCAAAACATGCCAGAAACATACCAGAAAAACTATTAAAGAAATAAACAGAACTAAAGGAAATACTTGTAGCATAACTCTTAAGTTGTTAATAACATTCCATTGAAGCAGAGTTTAGTATTCTTTGAACTGCTGAGTCATGTTTTTATAAGCATTTGGAAATCAGTTTTAGGGAAAATTAATGGGACATAAAAACATATTCCTGTGGAGAGGCAGGCTATATATCCTACTGGATAATGCCAAACAGAACAACATTCAGCAGCCTGGGGTCCCTGATCACAGTTCTAGACTTCAGCTCATTTGACTGGATACTCCCACAGCCAACTCTGGCAGAGAAGAGATGCAATGCCTGGCAGTTCTGACAGATGTGATCTGCATGTTTGCGCTATTAAAATAGGTAGTACTATATAACTGAGCATTAAACTCACAGGTAGACTTCATCTTTAGCAGCTTTTATTGGATGCTTAGTTATACTTTATTGTCCTTTACTAAGCATCAGAAATGCACTTCATGCCTTATTTAGAATGATAAGGTCCTCTATGTCAATGGTAGCTTTCCTAAATATGATTACAGGTACTTAGAAGCTAGACATCACCATGTATTACTGCATGCTAGTAAGGTTCTGATCATTCTGACAATTGCACCATAACTTTACTCATGTCATAGAAGATTTTCGGCACTTATTCCCTAATGAGCAATTTAAAACCCTGTTAAATTACATGCGGTGCAGCCTCACCTTGAGTACTGTGTGCAGCTCAGGACAACACAATTTGAGAAGGATGTTAAGATACTCATATGCAACAAAGCTGGTGAGAGGGATGAAAGGAATGTCCTATGAGGAGCAGCTGAAGACTTTGGGTTTGTCTAGTTTGAAGAAAAGGACCTCACTGCTCTCTCCAACTTCCAGGGGTAGCTGATGCCCCAAAGCCTGTCGGTATTTAAGAAGCACTTGGAAAATGCTCTTAACAATATGATTTGAATTTTGGTCAGCCCTGAAATGCTCAGGCAGCTGGACTAGATAACTGTATAGGTCCCTTCCAATTGAAACATTCTTTTCTATCCTAATTGTCACGGATACTCATGATACTGCCAGACACCATCACCTAGTAAGATACTAAGGAGAAGAATCATTTGTAATCTTGCCATCACACCTCCAACAAAGAAACAAGCTATCTCTTCAGGTAGAGACACACAACTTCTAATTCAGATTCCTGATGTGCAGATGAAAATGAACAGCCAACTGTATTCAAATGAACTGCTGATTTATGTTTAATGCATGGACATTAGTAGATGCCTGGTTTTATAGTCCATGTTGTAACAGCATGATTTCTATTGATAGCAATGCAAGGTATTTATTCTACTTGGTTCTTATTATTAAAAATAAAAAAAAAGTCCATGCTGAACTAGTTCTCTAGACTTCTTCTATAGACCAGAAAGAGCAAAGGACAACTTTAGAGAGTAATTTATCTCTAAAAGACTCAAAAGAGTAAGGTTTATTTTCTATGTAACAAAATCAAAACAAAATCCAAGGCCCTAGAGCAACACTAACATACGACTAAGCCACTGTTTTAAAAAGTGGCAATAGACGCAGCTATTAAGTCATTGCAATATAAGTTGGAAGGGAATCTGCATCTCAGAAAAAGGAAATTAGGAATGTCTAAAAGTTTTGGACATTCCTATTTTTATACACACTTGTTCCTATTTAAGCAAGATTTTGAAACAGAAATCATCTATTTCAGAAATAAAATCTAAGCCAGTGGGAAATTTAAGACATAACATTTCTGGTTTCATTTCACAGATAAATCATACTGAAAACCTGTGCCTCCTTCCCCAAAAGGGTGGTGTGGCAGTCTGAAACACTTCAGCCATGTCAACGCACGTTCGTAACCACCAGGTGCAATCTTGCCACGAGGTATGATGCGAATTCTGGATCCAGAGCTGCCATAAACATGCCATTTCACTACAGATCAAAGAAATTGCTTCCCTTCTGTAGTATCCACACAGGATGGTCTCATGCCTTTCCTCTCCCAAATCCTCCCTACTTAGCATATTACCAACAAAGACAGAACTTTCACACAGGGATGCAGTTAAAAACTTCAGAAAACTGAGGGAAGAGAAGAAAGGTAAAAGGCAAACACAGAGTCAGACTCCACATCGGAATTCTGTTTACTTTGAAATAACCTCTTTCTTGGAGTGAAAGTGTACATCAACACTCACATTTCCTGAATAGCCTGTCATGACAAGAGAAACTGCAGAGACACCCTACCAAGTACTCTATCAATCCCCAAGGCTTCTGAGATGACAAAATGCCTAATTAAAATATGAACAGAGGTTCATGTGGCCCACCATCAGATTCTGGGATTAAAAATACTTGCCAAATATGTCCCCTTGTTAGGATTGCAGCATGCCGCAGCACAGTCAAGATCAATGTCAGTGACATTTTCTTTCAAGTCTTCACACAGTCATTATGAATGAAGACAACTGCTGAACAGAAGACTTGACTCTTTTCATTTAACAGTGGACACAGACAGCACTGAGTTTGTAAAACCTGTAGACTGGTGGCCACAAAAAGAGAATTCTTAGATTGGGTGGGCATGAAATAAATTTCACTTCAGAGGCATGTGCAATTTAGAAAAAAAAACAACAAACCTACAAGATTCATCTACATAGATAAAATCCTGAAAGCAATTTAGTAAATTATGAGAAAAATCAGAGCAAGTAACTCAAGGTTGTCAGGTACATAGCAAATAAAAAACATAGCAAATAAAAAACCGGGAGAACATAGGCCCCCTCAGGAAGCTCTCAGGTGAACTAGCTACCCTGGATTTGGAGAAGGCTGAGGTTCTGAAAGACTTCTTTACCTCGGTCTTCACTGGCAAAGGCTCTGACCGCACCACCCAAGTCTTGGAAGGTAGATGCAGGGACTGTGAGAATGAAGACCTTGGGCCCACTGTAGGAGAGGAATTGGTTCGAGAACATCTTAAAAATGGCACAAGTCCATGGGTCCTGATGAAATCCACCCACGGGTCCTGAAGGAGCTGGCAAATGAAGTTGCTAAGCCACTGGCCTTCATATTTGAAAAATCATGACAGTCAGGTGAAGTTCCCAACGACTGGAAAAAGGGAAATATAACCCCCATTTTCAAGAAGGGGTAAATGGATGACCGAGGGAACTGCAGAGCAGTCAAGTCTCACCTCTGTGCCTGGCAAAATCTTGGAGCAGATTCTCCTGGAAGGCATGCTAAGGCACATAAAAATCAACAAGGTGCTTGGTGACAGCCAGCATGGCTTCACTAAGGGGAAATCCTGCCTGACCAATTTGGTGGCCTTCTATAATGGGGCTACAGAACTGATGGACAGCGGTAGAGCAGTTGATGTCATCTACCTGGCCTGTGCAAAGTGTTTGACACTGTCCCACATGACATCCGTGTCTCTAAATTGGAGAGACATCAATTTGATGGATGGACCACTCGGTGGATAAAGAACTGGCTGGATGGCCGCACACAAAGAGTTGTGGTCAATGGCTAAATGTCCGGCTGGAGACCAGTAACGAGTGGTGTCCCTCAGGGATCAGTGCTGGGACCGGACTTGTTCAACATCTTCATCGCTGACATGGGCAGTGGGATTGAGTGCGCCCTCAGCAAGTTTGCCTATGACACCAAGCTGTGTGGTTCGGTTGATACGCTGGAGGGAAGGAATGCCATCCAGAGGGACCTTGACACGCTTGTGAGCTGGGCTGATGTCAAGCTTATGAAGTTTGAGCATGCCAAGTGCAAGGTCCTACACCTGGGTCAGAGCAATCCCAGGCACAGCTACAGGCTGGGCAGAGAAGAAATTCAGAGCAGCCCTGTGGAGAAGGACTTGGGGTGCTGGTCGATGAGAAAATGAACATGAGCCGGCTTCAGTGTGCCCTAAAACTGAGTTTTTTTCAGTAATGCTTGGCCTAGACTTAAAAAAATGTGATAAGTTGATTGTCTTTTAGATCCATTTACAGGTCCATAGTTAGAATACAGGAAAAGAAACTTCTACAAAGAAAGATACTGGGAACTCTAATCACCAACGCGGGGACCACTGCACCAGCTAAACATAACAACCTGAGAATGGTCTTTTTTGTGAACTAAGTAGAAGTAACAATCATAAAGGTAGCCACAAAAGTAACTTTGATACATGAAAATTAACTTCCTGCACATCTAGTTACACACTTATGAAAGTCAGAAGACATCAAAAAATGTTACCATGTTGAACTTTAACATACAGATTAAATAATTCAACTTCTTTAATTGCAGAACAGTGTTTTAGCCAACTCTCCTTTCTGACATCCCAAATGGCTTTGAGTGACTTCTTTCTTGGAATAGAGGACAGAAGGTCAAATGTATAAGCAGTTTTCATATCAAATAAACATAGTTTTCTGTACTCATACTACATAATTTTGTTAAAGAGCTTTCTGAGCACATCTCCCACATTAGAAGACAATAATTATAATGAGTGTGACCCCAATCAATATCTTGCACCTGAATGCTTCTTACTGTAAAGCACAAGTCATTGCGCTTTACTGCTTAGCTGATAATTACAGTTAATAGCTATCTGGAAGTCAAAACAGATTAAAACTTATGATAGAAGAGAACAATATATTGTACAAGAAAACACACAAATACATATTTTGTTTAGTTTTTTAAGACTCATGTCACATATAGGGCACTCCAGTTAAGCACTGCTCAATTTACATTATATGGAATGTTCTGGAATTAGGCAAGTTAGATACAACTTTTCAGTTATGATGTAAACTATCAAATTATGATTTCATTAACTTTATAAATAGCTGAAAAAAAATCTGTTAAGCGCCTTTGTTCTAAAAATAGGGCAAGAACTTAAAAGACTTGACAAAAAAAGTTAAGACATCATGTTATTCCTTGAGCCAAAACCAGAATTCCTCTCTTCTGAATTGCCAGCTTTAGTAATCAGATTCAATAATCTGCAGGTTTAAGAGGAGCATTATGTTGCAAGAAAGAGAGGGATTAGCTCTTTGGCAAATTTACAGCACAAAAACATAAATAAGAATATCAAAGTGACACAAGCCTAACGAAGCATAAGAACTGTGGAATTCTTTTCTCCTATCAAACAGTATAGCAAGAGAGAGATGGCAGTGGTTACAAAATGTCCCACTGAATTATTCCTCTGACAGTCCACTTAAAACTTCAAAGCAATGTCAGTGCACCCGTTCTTGCAATCATCTATCCCTGCAATGCAGTTAATGGACAAGAAACATCTTAAAGCTTCTCAGTTAAATAAATATGTCCTAAGCTGTTGTTCTACAAACCTACATTACTAGCACAAAATTTAGTGCAATCAAGCTTTTAGGACCTATTCAAGAGTCCAGCAAGTGGACTCAAAGTATCACCCAATACAGAGGACAGACCAAGGTCCCTAATGGCCCTGATGCAATCTAAATTGCTCCGTACAGCATGCACATTTTGGTTTCACTCCAAGCACAAAAGAAGCCATATCTTCAAACCACTGCCCAAAAGCAGGAGTGTTCACATGGATAATAACAAGAGCTGCACAGTTCAAGACTCCAATAGGAATGGCCATACATGATCTACAGCAGCACAGAGTTGGGGATAGCACACAGAACTGCATAATGTACTTCATTTGTCCTAAATTCTGGGTCTTAGTCACATGTCCTCTAGCAGCATAGGTGAGATCAATTATATGAGAAGTATTTCACAGTAAAAGTTTTCTTAATTTGCTACTTTCACATCCTCTCGTTCTCATGTTACAAAACAAAAAATGGGAGTTTCTAATCTACTTGCTGTTTATTCTTTCTGCACAGTTTATTCTTTCTGCACAGTTTGCATGCAGTCTCCTATTTTTTTAGCAAAGCAAGTATAAGTTGAACAAGCTAAGATCTCTAGATCCTCTTATATAAAATGGCAGAACATTCGCACTGACTTAAAGTCAAGAAAGCCAAGTAGGCCATGGGACACAAACTGCAAATTATCACTGATCACTGGAGCTGTTGCCCCATTCCATGCAAAACTGTCACTTGACAATTATTTGGAATCAGACCTAACCAACTCATAACAATTATATCAATTAAAAGATGAAGTGTGACTCCAAATAAGGGAAGAGTTGATGCTTGATGTTATGGAGTTAAGCTTGTAAAGACAGGAAGAGATTCTAAAAGCTGAACAGAATATGCTCAGATACATGAGGGTCATGGAATTTGGATGTTGTTTTTCAAACACAACAGGCAGCAACATCATCAGATATGCTTAGCAACACTGTTTTATCAAAACCTGGTCATTTAGATCCTCTAGCAATATATATTGAACAGGGCTTTTATCTTATAGCATTATAAATTGAATACCTCTTCTGCTGTTAAACATGAGCAATGTTTAAGACATAGATGACACTTTGTGTCAAACAAATGTCAAGATTTTACTTCAATAACCAACACAGTTTGAAGCATACACACTAGAACCTTTGGAAACCTCACATGCAATTTTCTGCAGAGGCTAGTGATGCCTCCAACATCAGCTCTTAACAGAACTTATTTAACTTATGCCATTTCAAAAGAACACACATCTGCTTATAATTCAATTTACTCCTGTAAATCAAGTACTCCCTTGTATACCGGAAGCTCTCATTGCCTACCAACTCTGTACCTTATCAGCAATATTCTTTTTTAACAGAACTTTTAAAAGTGACATTGACTTTTACCAGTTTTAAATAGAACTCTTTAGAAATTAAATGCTCCATGGTGGAAATCTCTTCTGTGACTGCATTCCTGGACATGTGCTTCAGAATCTCTACAGAGTAAGTAAGGATGCATGCCAGCCCAGGTAGCAGAAATACATCTCATATCAAAGATTCTACACCATATAACAGAGAAGAAAGCATCATAGATCAAGTAAATTAGTTAAAAGACAGACTGATTTCAAACTGAACCAGACAGAATTCACTTGATCTTGGATGTGAAAGTTCAGCTAAGTAACACCCAAAAGCAAGGATTTTCTTAAAATGGAAATTTAATCACCTGTTGAACTCCAGTTCTTAACAACTGCCCCTACTAGATATTAAATGCTGCACTAGAGAGTTTAGTAAAGAGAAGTCACATGCCAGTGGATGACATGGCCCAAAGCTGAGTGAATCATGATACAACTAAATCTGAAGAAAATTGAAAAGTTCATTAACTATGCACTGAATAGGAACAGGAATGATGAAATACCTCTTTACATCTGGGGCTACTGATATCAACAAGGAGACTCTTACCCGGAATTCTCATTTGGCCAGAAAATGTGACAACTTACAGAGCAGGGTAGCAGATCTTTCATTAAATGAATACTCTAAAGACAGACTAAGTCATTTTAGTCATTGCCTAAAAAAATGCTGAGGAACAGTAATTAAATTTCCTAGTATCCAAACCACTTTCTTGTCAGTAAACATCATTGAAAAATAGAGCCTCAACCGAGTCTGTCAATTAGGAGAGTCTGTCAGTTCCCCTGTTAGGGTCTCAAATGAGCTTGTTTTCTATTTCAAGGAAGAGTAAGGATTGACAACACTCAAAACAGATGGAAGAAAGTAATGATGAACTTGTAATGAATACCTCAGGAATAAATCCAGCTTACTAATAAATAAAACTCTCTTGAACAATTAAGAATGTGTAGGTCTAATGAAGCTACATGGCTTTGCATCTTCCCCTTCTCTTTGGACACGCGTGATAAAAGATGTTCTTATGACTGAATGCTGCCTATACAGTCTGACACAGTCCTTCTTTGATGCTGAGCAAATTATTCAGCTGCAAGATTAGATGAGGTCCAAAATCACATTTCATTTTTAGATCATTTTCTATGTAAGATACAGAAACTTGGTCTGTAGAAGTACTAAACATTCACAGATGCAAGACAATGTGACAGATGCTTTATTAATATAATGCTAATAATGCATTTTTCAACCATATAATGCTAAGAACTCCGAAACATTGGTAGTTCAGTGGCTCAGATTGGATATTCAAAACCAATAGAAGACTTTGACCTTAATCTCTCTGTGCCTCAGCTTCTCATCTGCAAAATACAGATAAAACCACTCTCTCATCTCACAGGGGATTTGTGAGGATAAACTCAAAGCATGCTGATAGTATAAACACCTTAAAAATAGCACAAGATAGCACATAACCGTAAACAGTAACTTAATTATGGGGAGATAAACAAAACATTGACTAGCTGCTGACTAAATAAACACTAAATATCCTGTGCACTCAATGAAATGAAAAGTCATGTGGGAAAACAGTACAGGATCCAAGACTGCATTACAGGATATAAGCACGGTGAAGTAAAACTAAGGTTGAGCGAGCAATCCTAACGCAGTAAGAACTCTTAACCTTAGAGTCATAAACTTCTATACAGCTTTCATCTCCTCTGAACTCTCAATATAAATTTACAAGCAAATACCTGTACACCTAAACTACCAAGAATACATTTAAATTATGCTATATGGAGTGGGCAAAACCCCAGACACTCTGCTATTCTTAGTTCATCCTGCCTGTTTCTGGAAGAAACTACTTCCAGTGTATCCTTAGTTCACCTTTTCAGAGAGTACTGCTTTCCCAAGGCTGCCTCAGGGTCCTGCTGACGGATTGCTCTAATTGCAGTTGGTGAAGTGAAGAAGGCAGCTACTTCATGCTCTGCTAGCACACGGAAATAGGCACCAGCATCTGGCGTTCCCACAGGCTTCCCCTATGGAGAGAATAATTTAAAATGTCACAGGATAAAAATACTTCATGATTCCTTGACAGTTCAAAGCTTGAACACGTAACAGTAGTGGTAGCACTGCAACAGAAGTAATTCCTAGTAGGACTTTAAAGAAGGCCTTGTTAAAAATAATAATACTGTGACCATATTCACTTGTAGAAATAAGTTCACAGGCTTTGGGCACAACCTATTCCATGAATACAGCACACACTAGCTGCTATTTAGAAAAACAGGACAAATGGACACATGAATGAAAAAGCAACCACAAAGAGCTGTTACTACACTGGCAGCAGAGGGAGTAACGTCTACATCTATCCTTATTGTGAAGCAACCTGTAAAACACTCGAGACCATTGAACTAGGGGCCTCTGGACACAGTGGCACTGCAGCTACATCCTCATGCACAGGCCTAAAGGACATTTTCTTCCCTGGAAGTTTCCTCTCAACTCTAGGAAAATTCCCATTTAGCTCCTTATAACTGGCTTCTTGGAATCTTTGTGCTGCTCCCCTACATGAAGCCTGGAGAGAAGCTGAAGACACCCTTTCTTGCTTAGTGTGCTACCAGACTGCAGTTTTGTTTGTGGTTGGGATCTTTTCTTTTTAAATTACTGGGGTTTTTTAAACAACTAATCAATGTCTTGAGCTAAGGAGCATAGTCAAGAGAGTTTTAAACAGAAGTAATCAGACGTGGCAAATTGTCCAACAGTAAGTAATAATAAAGTACATTTCTGTGGTGCTGTAAATATGAAAAGCAGTTGGCACAGGATCATATAATCAGTCCTCCTGTTTGTAATCACTGCAGTACATGCACTGCTCCACACATGTTCTGAAACTATGAAAAGATGATGTTAACATGGAATGAGTTTTAGCTCTACAGCTCCTGCCATAACCTTTTCAACTAGAATGGACACGCTTGGAAGATGAACTTTGACAGAGCACACAAATTAGGAGAGACATACATTCTATCCTGCAAACACAACTTTGTTAATGCTTTATTCAAGATGACACAGACATGGAGACAGTTTCACTATTGAAATGTCACCATCTTTAAGCAGCTTACCCATCACAAGACAAATTCATACCTTCACCACCCTTGTGTAAATGCAAATTTGGAATAGAAAGACTAACAGGTCCAGTGGGAAAGAAACAGCATATGACACTCTAATACTTTTCATTTTACCAAGACACAAAAGGAATAGAGAGTCATTTGAATACCTTGAATAATTTACTAAATTCAGTATTTTTATTCTGACAATGAGGCACTAGTAACATGAAAATGTCTTTATGAAAATACACACTAATCAAGTTAGTTGACTTACACCAACAGAAAAAACAGCAAGCTGGCTGTGATGCAGGCACACGGGAATTCACCCCCTTCCCTCTCTTCCATCTGCCCTACCCACTGCAATCTTCCCCACACTTGCTCTGCATCCAGCTGTGCCTGAACACTGGCAAGAGCACTGATAAACCATTTGGCAGATTTAAAGAGTGCAGCATGCCTGAGGTGAGATATGTACCATTGACTTTGGAGCCCTATGGAAAAATACTGCTGGTGAGAGGACACTGGATCACAGCAGAATGAAAGAAAACAAAACAAAACTATTACTTTAAGGATAGAGCAGATATTGAGAGGCAAATTAAGGGAAAATAAAAGAAACAGTCCCAGCCCAAGTAGCAGGGAGGAGTATCACCAATGCAAAAAAAAATTCCTTTTGCTAATAGCCTATACAAATTATGAAGAAGAAATGCAAAAGAATGCTTTCTGCCTACAGAAGCATCATCCTTGCAAGCTTCTTCACCACAATTTTCATGTGCTCATCAATATTTGTACATGAACCTATTTTTTCAAGTTGGATGTCACCTCCCTGTGATGTTCACTATACCTGCAGATCTGTAAACATCTGTTCAGGAGCTCAAGCCCACATCACTAACTAATGCTAAACAAAATAAATGGTCTCAGACTAGAAATTCCAAATTTCCATAAACTTCTCATATTAATGAATTATGTAACTGAACTGATATCAATCATCTTACACAGCAAATAAACCTACCTGTGGAGCAATCATAAATTGGTTAGCCTGCCAGTAATAATGCAGGGTTTATTTTTAACCAAATGAAAATGTCCAGAGCCCATAAACGGGCTGTCTCTGGCCTTCACCACACGCACTCCCTGATAGGGCCTTGGCTGCCAGTGCTCAAGGCCAGGTTTGCTAGGGTGCAGCTGTGTAATCTTGGATCAGATCATCAGGAAAACAGCAGTTGTGAGAAGAGCTGAAAGGAGCTTCCCCTTCCTTGAGAGGCAAGTTATGCTCAGGCCCTCACCCTTGATCCCTGCTCAAGCTACACTGCAGCTGAGTCCATGCCTCACACTTCCAGAACGTCCAAGCTCAAACCCAAGCCTGAGTCTGAGCCCATCTTCAACACAAATGACTAAGCCTTCAGTAGTACGTGGGTAGGCATGCAGGGATGTGACAGGTTGATATTTATATGTCACATATAAGTTACAGCAGCTTTGGTTTGGAGAAGTACCATCCTCAAATCGAGGAGAAAAACAAATAAAACAGTCAAAGGAAAGGAAGAGACATTTCATCTGACAGATGATAGGAAATAATACCCAAAGAATAAGACAACACTTAGAATACGCATGTAGGAGAGAAAAAAAAAAAAAAAAAAAGTTGCCCATTTGTAACACATTCTGACTGGTTCTGCAGAAAAACTTCCCTGGTGCCTCGGCTGCTGGTCACAGTTTGGCAAATGCATAAACAAAAACCTACATGCGCAAAACAAATCTGAGACGGTGCAAATTCATTTCAGAGCCCGAAAATCTACAAATAAAATTGCCAAAGAGGGTTATCATGTATTATACAAAATTTGTAAGAAGTACTGCGAGATGCCATGAGAGGCTTATTACCATATGCAATTCTGATTTTTAAAATGTTAGCAATATAAACAATAAGGCACAGGGTAATTGAATTCACAATGTGCTGACAGACTGCTGAGTCAGTTGGGGACTACGAGCAAGTGAGATGCTTCCACTGGATTTCTGCAGGGATTAGTTCAAGACCTGTTGCTATTCAGTATTTTCATCAATACTGCAATATTTGCAGTAATATCTGTGATTAGGAGGAACTGAGGGCACGGTAAACAAAAACAAGACAGTCAGAAAGAGCGATCTGCCTCAACTGATTTTAAAAAAGAAGAGTAGAAACAGACATTTGTTGCATCAGCTAGGAAGATTCAAGTAGAAAAGGCTTTGTTTTAATAACCTACCAAGAGACTCTGAGACAGAGAGACAGACAGGAATACCTTTCTGGAATTACTTAGATTTAGCATTTGTCAGATGTCAACTGGCTGAGCAGCCATCCTGAAGCAGAATGTGCTGACGTGTAATACATGATTATGAGAGAACTTTCATAGTCAGGCAGCAAGAATGATAAAGGGGATAGAAAAGTTCAATGGAGAAAATCAGAAGTCACTGGGATGAATTACTTGAGGAAAGACATATAAGAGAAGCTACAATAAAATAACAGCAATGCAGCAATTCCCATTCTGCCTGATCCCTAACAAGGGGCTCTTCAATTAAGGATAAATTCAAAATTATGAGGAGGAAATTCTCCCTGCATAACAAATATTATACATGGAACTCATTGCCACTAAAACCTGCTGATGCCAAAGCACACTCAAAATCCTGTCACATCAGGATTCAAAAAAGTATGTTCATAGAAATGCTCATTCTTCTGCTGCTGACACTGCTGCCAAACCAAACCTCCACTAGGGACTTGAGATGATACGTCCTACAGAATTTGTTCCACAAATAAAGCCAGTAAGGATGATGGCAGAAAGATCACAAAACTGGCAAACTTCAGAAACAGTGCTTGCTCTGTAAGCTGATAATAATGGCTGTAAGGAAGGCTGGATGCCTCCAAAAACTGGGCCAAATGAAACTAATTTGAAGCCTGTTGCTGCTGTGTACCCTCAGATTTGCTGCAACAGCAGGCACGGGGAGGACCCCATTGAGCGTAGTGAGGATGGTTTCATGAGCACAACAATATCTTGAAATAGCACTGTGGGGGACAATAGCTCCTCCTCTGTCGTAGACCACTCGAATTCCTTGATGAATGAATCCTTGGCAAGCGTGGGCATTTTTTTCATTACCTTAGCTCCAGTTTGAAGTCCTAAGCACTGGAACTACAATGCTGCCTTTTTCCTGACATCACAGGACCACAGGTAGCAGCTAGATTTTCTCTTCATGCTACCCTGTCGTTTTACAGCTTGTGATCCCATTAGCAAGAACAACCCAGAGTGGGCTATGAGACTTCAAGTAGCTTATTTATAGCTGAAATGTGTCTGTCATGCCTTGGAGAAAAACAGCTCAAGACAGATTATACATTTAAAACAAAACAAAACAAAACAAACAAAACAAACAAACAAAAACAAAAAAAAACCCAACCAAACTTAACAAACTTTGCTGTATTCAGAAGAATTCATCAGTGTTTTCACATTCCTGACAATACTATTACAGCAAGTAAAAACTGGAAGCACACAGTTTCCATAGCAATTGTTAAAATGACAAGTTGTCACCTACTAAGTAATTTAAAAATAAACAAATCACTTTAAGAAGTGAGGATATGAAGTCAGCACAGTTTATATTCAATGGTGGTTGTCCCTAGGCAGAAGTGATGAGGTGTTCTTTCTCCTAAACAGCATATTGATACTTCCTAACCCAAAACCTATCATTAGAGAATAATTTCGAAACTGACTACAAATTTATGAATATTCACTGTTAAGAGAGTCTTCTGAGGACAGGAAAAATTATACACTATTATACACTATTCTGTTTGTAATTATTATTCCTACCCCTCTAAAAGATGACACTGATGACACATCTTCAGACACTCATGAACATTCTCTGAAGACTTGCTTGGTGGTACCCCAGAGAAAGATAAAGGGGAAATATACTGTTTAATAACGCTCTCACCAAGAGCA